TGCCGACCCCCCCTGCCCGCTGCAACGGCCCCCGGCCCCTCGCTGTCAGCGCGGTTGCCCCCGTTAAACCGCCGTGCTGCGCTGCCTTGGGCACGGGGAGCCGGGGCCGGGCCGGACAGGGGGACACAAGGACCCCCACCCACTCAGGCAGCCCCTCTGCACCTCTCCCCGCTTCCCTCCCACCGGTAGCCCCAAACCCCGCTCCAACGCTGCACCAAAACCAGGGAAACACCCGGTTTTTCAGCCTGCGGGCGACCTCAGGCTGGAGGTGGGCCGCTGCCCCACAAAGTCCTGGGAGTTGGGATGTGGCGGGGATGGCCCGTTGACACCCGCTTTTCCAGGGTATCCCTCTGCCTTCCTTCCCCGCGCTCCTCAACCTCCCTCCGTGAGGCAAGCCTTCAAGTACGGGGCACATCCCCTTCCCCAGCCTGGGGAGCCGGAGCTGGGCCAGGGGCAGAAGCCAGGCTGGCAGCGGGGAGGCGCAGGCAGGAATGAAGTCCCCACCCAGGCACCCGCCGGTCCCTTTGTCCCTGCCCTTGGGATTATCTGGGAGCAAAGTTAGCGGTCCCGGAGACGAGGAGATTAGGCCGGAGTCCGTGTCCGTGTGGGGGCTGCAGGAGCTGGTTTCCCCCCACCCTGCGCTGCTCGTCCCCCTCCTAGGCTGGGGGACAAGGCTGGCTCCAGCTCTGGGGCTCAGGCCACGGGATCAGCGAGATATTTTTACGGCAGGAGCGATGCGGGGTGGGGAGGAGGGGAGACCTTGATCCCAGCCCCACGCTGCTGCAAGAGGAGCCCTGACAGGTTTGTGAAAAGCCCCTAGCCACATCTCCTCGGCTGGGACAAAAGACTCGTGCAGAAATGTCACTTCCCATTTGGAGCGGGGCGATGAGGCACCTCATTATTCCTCTGGTTCACTCTGACACCGGGGCAGGAGGGGTCTTTTGGTGTCCGCTCTGCCCGTGGTGCCGATGGGTACAGCCGTCCTCTCCGAGAGCCGGTGAGCGTTCCTGGCCATCGCATCTCCAGGGGGGGAGCTGGAGCCAGGGAGAAGCTGTCTCTGGCCCCTGCTCACCCCAGTTTCCCCCAAACCAGACTGAGCTGAGTTTCAGTTGGGGCTGGAGACGGCCCTGGCCCTTCAAGTCTTTCCCGGAGCAGCCGGCATTGGCCTTGGGGTCTAGCCACCGGAGCTGGGGGGAACCAGGACCAATGCCAGGGCCCCCGAACACTCCTTCCGGGGCGATCCTGGACAGCCTATGCTCACAGAGAGTCCCCACCGCCCGCTTTCACCTCCTTTGGCCTCAAAATTGAGCCCTGAGGCAGAGCATGCCAGGCAGGCAGGGCTCCTGGGGACAAACAGGCTGGCAGAGAGCAGGCAGGAGTGCCGGCATTGGGGCAGCACCGGGCATCCCTGGGATGGGTGCCCGAGGCTGTGTCAGCACCCACGGGGTGAACCCGATAGCCTGGCAGGGTGCTCAGGGTTGTGCCCCAGCCACGCAGGGCTCTGCAGGGCCCCTCCAGCATCCCTGGAGCTGTCCCCATGGCCAACGGCATCTGGCTCGTCTCAAGCCGGAGGACCCCAGCCAGCAGCATCGCTCCGGCGAAAGGGGGGCCATGGCCCTGCGCCCGCACAGGGGGAGACGAGTAGGCAAGACGACGGACCG